TTTAACACGGACGTACATAAAATTTAATCAATTTCGGGTCTAATCGGTTCCGGGTTTTATCGGTTTGGGTTTAATCAGATTCGGATCTGAATCGAGTCTGAATACATTCGGTTCGGGTTCGGTTCGGTTCGGATCATTTCGGGTGTTCGGGTCTATTTCGGTTCTTCAGTTTTCGGGTCAAATCGGGTTTGGTTCCGGGTTATTCGGTTCGGGTTATCGGGTCCGGGTCAGTTTTGCCAGGTCTAATTTTGATGCCCGCTCGTTATCTTCGTTCTCAGGATAAGCACCTTGTGGGGCCCAAGATTCACTTTACTAGCACTACACAACACGTATTTGTGCACCAAAAGTTTCGAAAGTTTCTTCGATTACGAGTAAGAACGGGATGCACATGTGCTTCTTTAAAACGAGTTATCTTACATTCGCCTTTACACAAGATTACTAAGATATGTGCATGACATCCTTCCAATGTTTCAGCTCTTGTTTCTCTTTTGTTCTTGTATCTAAACATTGGACTTTGATCCTAAAAGAAGAATAGGTTAAAACCTTCTTTTGGGAAGTATTCTAAAACCTTGCTTCAAAGATTTTTTCAGGACTTATCACCATTTTTACTTTTGAAAGATGAGGAGGAACGGATGGTAAAACCAACAGAGCGTGCATAATGATTGTAGAATGTGTGGTAATCATAATTTTTTTTAAATGTTGACCTATCTTAGGTTTTAAAATCTCATGAACTTCAGGAATCGAGTTCCCCACGGTTGAATAGTCCAATGGAGTTTCTGGAAAAGTTGTATTGAAATTGTACAAGACATGATATATCAAATAGTGAGTATTGAAATTATTTTTTGTTTAAATAAAATTGGACACACTATAACGTTCATCACACAAAAAAAAACCAAGTAGAAAGAATAATGTAACTAGACAAGTGAAAAACCACATAAGTATAGTCAGTAAAAAGCTCATCACCGGGAAAACAAGGAAATTATGATCACAACAAACAAAATGGAGAAAAAAAGAACACATCGAGATAGCTATTGCCACAAAAATACCAATATACTAAAAATTGAAACTTTACATTCATACCCGGAGTATTAGCTTAAAGCAATATAGGACTCCCCAGAAAAGCAACTAGATACCGTTCTCGAATTGGGTTTAGATTATTACTCCCATTGTCCCAAAATAAAAGGTGAAGTTCGGTTTACGATGTTTGACTAAAGTTATTTTTAACTCAATTTATCTCAAAGTTGGTGTACAAATAAAAAATAAAAATTACATATTTAAAACTACATCAAAAGATCTATAAAACAAGAGGTGAATGACTCTATTATTTTATCATTTGAGTAACTAAAATAAGCAAAGTGAATAATGTTTGACCTTGTGAATAGTGTCTACCCCTTTTATATTGGAACAGAGGAATTATACTAATGTTTAATCTATAAAGTCCAGAAATATAATATAAAATCGTATAAGAAATAGAAATTAAGCATTAAGAATTACATACAAATGGGTAGATTTTTCTTTGTAGGTGCTTGAAAACGGTCCAATTGTAGAAGCCGGTCAAACTGAAGCAGAGCAAATCAAATAATAATATATTCCAATGGGTTGGGATTGTTATTCTTCGTCAAACAAATTCCCATATATCCAATAGAGGAAGAAAGGCTGGGAGTATTTAAACCAATTTCTATGTTAATTGAAAAAGAAAGGTAGGACCCAATTTGTATGTTAATCCCAGCTACCAAATTCTCCTTTTGTTACTACAAGTATATTTTATGGAGTAAAAAGCTTTGTCTTGTTCGCGTTGTGACCTTCTGATGTATGGGATCAAAGAAGGGCTGTGTGGGATTATTCGACCCAGACCTAGTTTTTAAAATACCCAACATACAAATGGACTCAAATTGAATGGAACGATCCACGTGTCATCTTACTGGGAAAAAAATGTTGGAAATTGAATACAGTAACAATCTTTGCTTGACTAAGACTATAATTTTGCCAAGAACCGTTCAAATAATCAAGTGGTGTAGTCTTGCTTCAAGAGTGTGCTTCGTCAGGGATTTTGGGCTTTTGACTAGCCTTGGATTATTTTCATCAAAAGCTTTTTACTTAACGTCTAAAACCTTACTGCGTTTGGGTTTGTTCATCTTTTTGGCTTCAATCTCAGACAGTCTCACCGGCCTCCAATGAATTTCCCAGGTTCTGCAAGCCTACCCACGCTCTTCTCCAGTCTATCTGACTACCACACGTCCTATGTGCCGCCTCAATTACCCTATGTCTGCAGTTTCTCTAGAGTATCTATTTTTTTTCTCGTAATGCCTTTGCTTGGAGTTTTGGACAGTCTCTATTTACTCATGCCGTGAGAGTTGAACAAAATCTTTCATTAAGGTCAGCCTCTAATTTATTGTGTGCTCTTGCCAATGATCCATTTTATTAGATCTGAAACATTTCTCTGTTAATGAACTATTTTAAGGAAGTGGCTTGAGAAAGGTTAGGAATCTACATAGGCTACATTTAATTAAATAGATGCTAATTCATCTTTCGTAAATGCAGGCTAAAAGTATGATAACTATAAGAATAGTTCATGATTTAACTTATTTTGTATTTTGTAAGGGTAAGTGGTGATATTGTATTCCTCAACAAAATCTACACAAGATAGGATTCTCAAAGACAGTATACCTGAAGGTGGACTCGTTTTAATAGAAAGGGCCTAAGAGGAATATCATGTAGTATTTTTACCTTAAATTTCCAAATCATCAGCTAGCTTAGATGACTAATGAAATATGCCATACTTTTTACCTACAAAAGGATCTATTCTTCACCACTCACATAAAAGTATGAGCGTTTTTGTCTCAATTTTCTAGGGATGTGATCTTTCCTTATCTTCTTAAAGTCCATTTGACATTTTACTCTTTGGTTGTGGTAAATGTTGGAAACGAGCCAAGCCAGACCTCCCCTTATAAAAAACGTTTGGCTTGTTTCAAATATATGAGTCATGGGCCTTGCCTTTGACCTGCATGATGCCTTTTTTGGCTGAGCTTGGCCTGTTCAAAAGCCAGGCCAGACCAGAGGCCTTTTTAGACTTTTGAAGCATGAATTCTCAATTATGAAACTTTTTGTCTATTTATCTAAAGTACATAGTAAGATAAATTATTCCTAATACTTCCACCGTTCCATTAAAATGTTTTACGTTTATTTTTCTGTTTGTTCCCAAAAAAAGTTCCTCTTTGCCTTTGAGGAAGAAATTGTATGGTTCACACAATTTTCTTTTCTACACAAAAGTCAACCACACACACTTTTATTAATCACCGTTTCCGGTCAATTGTGGAACCTTATTTCGGGATGGAGGGGGTACATAATAGAGCTTACAAAGTTATAGTAAATGAAGTCCACAAAATTTACAACAAAACCAAATAGAGCATCATAACCAAATAGAATCAAATCTGCCACTTAGGATATGGAGTGTAAAGAAGGTAAACAAAGTTGAGTGAGATGAGAGGAGTGAAAGTGAATTAGGATTTATGATAGAGATAGATAACAAATTATACTATAAGCTCTATTTTTTTAATAAAAAATACTCCCTCCGTCCTAAAATTAACTCCCCACTTTCCATTTTGGGTCGTCTTAAAACTTTCTTCCCATTACTTAAAATGGAAATTTTTTATTCAGCAAATGACATTTATACCCCTAACTACTATACCCACCTTTCTCCATCTTTCACAATTCACGGCTCTCACCCAAATAAGTTCTCTCTTTCACCATTTCACACCTCTCTCAGCACCTGTACTCTGTCTCTCCCTCTTCTGCCTCATTCCCCTATCTTAACTCTTCATTCAACTCCTAAAGTTTCTTGTTTAAATTGGTCTGCATCATCACCCCTTTATGCTCTATACATCGTTGTGGTCTCCGCATCTTCATCCTCGACTCCATTTTTGTCTCAGGAGTTCACAGATTTAGACAAATTGGCGTTGTTTAAATCTGGCTGCTACATGTTGAGAGCAATCAGATCTCAGATCTGAATCGATGCCAACAACGACGATTATGACTACCGTGGAGTGGGCAATCAGAGTTCATATTTTCTTTTCTTTTTTGTACATATTTGTGTTTTTGTGTGAAGAATCTTCAAATTGGGCACCCTAATTGCCAATTTTTTGTTTTAACCTTCATTTTTCAAGAGACTTTAATTTTCTGATGTTTAAATGACGATGAATCCTTTTGGTTGCATTGTGTATGTGCTTGATCTTAGCGAGGGATAGAAGAGGTAATTTTTTCTCATGTCTGTGATTAAGAATGTGAGGGTGGAGGATAAGGGGTATTTTGGGATAGTCAAAGCAATCTTAACATTTCCTTAAAAATCACCTCCGGTCAATCCGAGAAGTTAATAATAGGACGGAGGGAGTAACAAATAAGCTGGCCTAGTAGGCCCTAAAGGCTCACCAGTAAGCTCATTCTTGGCCTGGTTTGTCAAAGAGGCTTTGTTGTGACCTTGGCCTGGTCTTTTTATATATTTGTTTTTGTAAAAAATGGTCCTTGGAAACCTTTTGGAAGTTAATATGAGTGATGGCCAAATAAATGGAAATCACTTCTCAATTTGCCTCGTAGCCTTCATGCTCCAAGGGTTGGACTGTTTGGTGCACTGTTTCCTTTAGGCTTGTCAATGGGTCGGGTTTGGATCCGGACACGACCCGAATCTGGAGTTCTTAATCAGGTATGGGATACTTTGGTTTTACCTAGACCTGGACTGGGTTCCAATTATAACTTATTAAATGGGGCGGACTTTGGTTCTCTTCATCCCACATTCTATGTGCAAAATCATTTGAAGCTAAGCGCTTCCTATATTGTAATGAGGCAGCTCTATGAATGTAATTGCAATTTTGCTTATATTTCTAAAGCAAATGATGATTGCTTGTTATTTGCTTTTTACTTCATATTTGTATCTTTGTGTTCTCTTATTTAATCTTATGGATTATAACCATGCCTGTAAAATGGCCTTTGTCAATCTATATTGGCAGGTTTCATCATTAATCAATCATCTTGTATGATGTATCAACACGCACGGGAATGCAGCTTCAGGGGTTGGCTAAAAATAGTGAACAACAGGCTCAAGGTTCAAATGGTTTTATGCTCGATATTCTTTACAAAAGTTGGTTTATATAGGCATAGTGATGTGCAACTATGCCAATATTTTGACATCATTATATTTCTGGAAATGTCATGGTTCCACATAGTGACACCATCTTTTTATTTGGTTCATCAGGATCAATTTCTATCTCCATCACTGCCTCTTCAGAATCCAGTTTACCTATGTATGTGTGCCATCATTCACCAGCTACAATACGGTTTCAAAATTAAAAATCCACGTCTAGACAGACTAGACCCTTGTAACCGGTTCAGACCTTGTGCAGGAGCTAGGCCTAGTCTGGTGCATGCCTTGTGTTCTTTTAAAACACTAGTGTGTTTGCACTGAACCTGATTACTTAAACCAGGAAGGTAGCCCTGCCCTCAGTCATTGCATAAAGATTGTTAGCTGACTGGGTGTACATTTTGTGGTATGGTCAGGAACTTGCTAATGGAAGTGAATTTCAATGAAGTCCGAAGCTCGTATATGCCCACTTGTGAGTGATGGAGAAAATAACAGGTTCTACGTTGCAGTATAGGGGCTCAGGCGTTTTGGATTTTGCTTTTTTTTATTTTAAAAAAATAGGTTTTGACATGCTTTAGTTGTGAAAATTCTCTCTTATAGAGTATATACATCTTTAAAAGTCTGATAAGGCACATTTTCTTTAAGTATGCACCCTACTGACCTCTTGGATGTGGGGCTGAATAACCTGCCTTGTGATGATGGAAATGCATAGAATCTGCAAAAGAAGTGCAATAATGTGTAGTTTCCAACTTTTATTACCTCCAGAATATGCCATTTACGCTTGGCTAGCCAACGTTGTCGGATTTTTTAACCATGAGATTTGACAATTTGGGTCCCTAATAAAATAGAAGAAATGGACACAAATATGAGTAAAATTAACTAAAAAGACATATAGGAGTTGTATTAGTTATATATATATGTTATGCCAAAATTGCCCCTTAAAGCCAAGCGTTCCAAGGGCACGAGTATCCAAGCAAGTTGAGGGATTGGATCCCTTCTACAGCTGGTCCAAATCCAGTGCCATTGCGAAGCTTACATCGGTTACCGATTAGATCCGTGGTGAGTTCAGACTAACGATGGCGGGGGACTTATCTAGAAATTTGGACGACGGTGTCTAGCGGATTTGGGTGGCGATTGAGGGGTTGAACGTGTATCACATCATAGATATTGAGTGGCTAGGTGTTATAGCACCATGGGAGATGGGTTAACCATCGCTCCCTCCTTGGCTCTTAGCCTTGCCGTGAAGCTATTCTTTAGTGGTGAATCATCGTCGCCGCCCTCGAAGTAATGAGAGGGTCGTGGGTGAGATCTGACATGTGGTGGAGGTGATGACGGCCGGTTACGGTGGTGATGTTTTGACATGACGGTGATGTCGGTTCGATTAGATCGTGCCTCTAGTGAGGGTGGACATGAAATACAGCGAAAATGCTCAATTGCGGGCCTACACTTCTCACTTGAGTTATCAACCTTTTTTTCTTGAATGAAAGAATTTCATTAATAAAAAATGTTAAGGGTACACCAAAACGTATACTCCAATTGTACCACATTGCATCTCCACCATACAATCCTGGTGTTGATAAAAAAGATTGATGAGTATTGAATAGATAAAGAATGTATGGTGAGAATTTGAATGTGTACAAATAGAGTACACAGTTTGGTGTACCCTAGCATTACCCTTCATTAATCACAAACCAAATAATAGCAAGTTCCTACAACACATTTTAGCGACTAGGCCTATGGCATTACCCTTCATTAATCACAAACCCAATCTATTTAGTGATATTATGCAACACACTTTGTTAGAAGGAACAGTGCAGATATAAATAATTGCTACCTCAGCAGCCATCCCACATAAAGAACAAGTATTCAGGCCAAGGAATTTGCTTAGATTGACTCTTGTTTGAATTCTACCCTTGTATATAGCTAACACAAGAATTGATATTTTGGAGGGCATTCTTTGTTCCACACAAAATCACACAAGTCTACTTTTGGTTGCTCTCCCAGTAACTATCTGTACCCTTTGGCAGTAACTTTTTTTGCATTTAACTATCATCTTTTTTTACCATTGTTACTAGAAAGTTATAGGATTAGTTAAGTGTGGTGACGGCCGTTGCAATGTGGTTGTGGAGTTGGAAGTATGGCAATAGAGTTAGGAGTGTGGCGGTGGTGGTGGCAATATGGGGGCAGTGGTTGTATGGTGACTATTTTATTTAATTAAAATTTAGTTTTGTTTTAAAATATTAAACTAGGTAAAAGTGTCTCTTAACTGTTATAGTTTTGCGATGTTGGTGGCAGAGGCGGTGACAATGTGGTAACGACGGTAGCAGTGTGGCGGGAGGGGTGGTAATGTGGCTTTGGTGGTGGCGGCAGTGGGGAGGCGATGGTGCCAGGTGTGGTGACAAAGTTTGTAGTGTGGCAATGTGACAACGGTGGTGTTAGTGTGGGAGTGGTAGGTTTTTGATTTTTAAATGAACCACTCTTATGTTGGGCTCGACGATGTAAATTAGGTAAGCTTTTGGGAACAAGTAGCGCAGCCATACGATTGACCCGCGGCGATTCCCCGACCCTTCTCCTTCGTTCTCTCTCCCGCATGGCAACGGGATAGTCGCCGCACAAGCGTCCTCGTACTGATGATGCTCGCATTCCTCGTACTTTCGAGAGACTTGCTCTGTCTTTGAACCTGAACCCGGACTTTGTTTCCTCTTCAATTGCTAGAGGTACCTACGGGTGCACTCACACTTTTTTTTATCGAAATGGAGAGGTAAAAATCCCAGAACCTCAAGAAAGGTTCCTCACTGTCACACACCTAGGCCAATAGCATCCTAGCTTATCCTCTAGCAAATGGCGTGCACCATTCAGTGGGAACTCTAACGGGTACACTCGCACTTTTGAGCAACACAATGCGACCAATCGCTTCTATGAGATAAATCTCAACCACTTCAAGAATGTGATTCAAACCCTCACATCAAGGTATGTTACTGTCAAGATTATGGAGGACAAATGGTCTCCACCCGACATTGAAGTTGAAGCCAACTACATTGCAACTCTTTTTCGCGATGCCTGCGTGACCGCTCTCTTCGCCCATCTTCGCCCGGTACATCATGCTCTGCCCGATTACAGTCAACGCTTCGAAACCCCATCTCTTTAAACTGAAGAGATGGAGCTTCCTCTCCCCTTTGCTGAAGCTATTCAGAACTTTGGTCCTTTCAACCCAGCCAGTATTCCTCAGAACTACCTCTGTGTGCCTGTTTATCCTGAAAACACGCTTAATGAAGGCAGAACCGCCGCTCAATGGAGCTCCTTGGAATTTGAAGCCACCATTCCAAGAATGAAAGAGATTGGGATCCCTTTCAAGTCTGTGGACACCGGTGTCAAATCCGGGACTGCTTGGTGGTGGGTGTATGCACTATGAAAGACATGGCAACAGCTGTGACATTGTGTGCCTGTACCCGCCCCATTAACTACTCTGATCACTCGGTCCTCCTTGCCGCCCTTTTCATCCGCAACAACCCTGATGGAAACGATGCTCTCCAGCTCGTAACAGCTCGCTCTGATGATCAAGAATGGCCTGCCCGTCTCATAGATGTTCCCCTCAGTTATCCACTCCAAGTCTTTGCTGCACTCTGTCATGCCCCTCCCGCTGAATGGAATGAATTTGCGCTCATGTATGAACCCCAATAATCTGTGCAGCTTTTTGCTTCAAATGTTGTGTCGTTTTCTTGTACGAATATTGCAAATTCAATCTGCTTGTAACTTTTGAGCTGTTGTAGATTGCACAAGAGTCTGCAAAAGTCTAATGATATACCTCTATTCAAAGTCTCCAAGATTTGGTTAAATGCTTATATAGATAGATGTAAATACAAGATGTACAACGACATGCTTAATTATTATCAATCGGGTATGGCTCTGTTGAATTGAGATTTATTCCCCAATGATGATTAAGGTTACAACAAATGATTGGATTCAACAATGATTAATGGTTACAACAACTGCTAGCTCCCTTTTGTGTTCTGAAAAAAATTTGTTTTTTCCCTGTCCAGCAGAAGAATTCCACAAGCCAGGCCTACATTTTCGGCACAGACTCTTAATAAAATTATTGAATTGTATTGCATGCTGATAGTTGAGTCCTTACCCATATTTGGTAACCTCATGGATAGCATTAGCCAAATAACCTACATTTCCTGAAGTAACTCCTGCCATACTAATACGACCATTTCGGGTCAGGTAGATATGGAACTCATTTGTCAAGCGATCAACTTGTTCGGGTGTCAATCCACTATAGCAGAACATGCCAATCTGCAGATAATATTAATGATTTCAAGTTAACAGTTATATATACTGCATATGATTTTTCACATCTGGACTACAACTTTTTGGTACCTGATTTGTCACATGTTCCCACGATAGAGGAGAGCCCAACTTTTCAAGGCTCTCTCTTAGGGCAGCTCTTGTTCTTATGATGCGATCTGCCATCCCCTGCAGACGATACAGTTCATATTGCAAAATGGCTTAGGACTGTAGTGTACATATGAGGGTGCTTATAGAAACAGTACATGAAGTGGCTAGTAGGACATCATATTACCTTTACTTCTCTGAGCCACAACTTCTTCAATTCTGGGTCACCAAGGATGGTAGAAACAACGAGGGCACCGTGGACGGGTGGATTACTGTACATGGGCCTTGCAAGCTGCTGCAACTGGCTTTTAACAGCTACAGCTTGTTTGGCATCATCACACACCACACTACATGAGAAAAAGGGAAAAAGATCGAACAGGAGAGACCTTTTCTCATAATGTATACTAGCAAACTGCAATAAAGGCTTGAAGAGAAAGGTCAGAAGCCCTTTCTAAGAATTTATACAAAGTAAAGGACCATCATAGCTAATTATTTCCTTGCAGCAATATATTCCCCCATTTCTCTTACTATATTTAAATACATCATGCTATTCTGTTTTGCATAGAAATATATATATTGAGGGGAAATGTCTAGCTCAATGCTAAAAAAGAGACTCACCTTAAACACCCAACTCTCTGGCCATAAAGTCCCATGTTTTTGGCATACGACTGGGCACACCCAACGGGATGACCATCCTCAATGAATATACGGATCGCTTTGGCATCTTTCTCTGTATTCCCGCTAGCAAATCCTTGATATGCCATGTCAAAGAAGGCAAAATGTCCCTTGACCTGAAAAAAAAGGAAATGTTTTTTTTTGTATACAAGAGGAAATAACATCATTTATGGGAATAATACTGATAATAGGTCTAAGGGTTCTATGTAATGAGCGAGACGACATGTCCATATTACCTTGAACTGGTGAGAGATCTCTTTCCATTGTTCCTCTGATGGATCAACCCCAGTAGGATTATGGGCACAAGCATGTAGTAAAAAGAATGATCCATTTGGTGCACTCTATGACACCAAAAAAATTTGTTAAAATTATACTTCCTACATTCTAAAATAAATGCAACATCAGGATTTTCATGTTTGCTAATGCATAAAGTAAAT